ATATATCAACTTTTGCAGCAAAGTCAAGCCGGAATATCGCATTTAGCAGCACCACCTGGAATGCGAATACTTCGATAAATTTTGCAACTTAGCAACATTCAACCATTCAGGAGCGACGAAAATCTTCCAAACTTTGAAATTCTAAGAGCAACCTCATAAAACCAGTTTATGTTCAGATGAATAAGTTACAAAACAATTTCCAGGAATCCCCTCAATTACTACACGTCATATCCCATTGCAACGTCGGAGCGTTAATGTGCGATCATAGAACTTTACATGTTTGTGCGTCATAGGTGCCAAAAAAGAAATTCGAGAAAGTACTATGAACGTGATTTTGGGAAAAAATATTCTGATAGAATTACGAGCATTTCCACGATGAAGTTAGCAAACAATAACGGAAAAAAAAAGATTTTAGAAAATAATGCACTTACCTTTGTGAAATACAGCAGGCAGACCAAAATAGAAGAATAGGAAAAACTTAAATTCGCTTTCATGCCACGTAGCTTGCACCAGCAAAGATTCTGCGATACAAAATGCAGCACCTTTGCTGAGTACAAATTATGTAGAAGAAGCAAAAACTCTTATGAAATTGATGAGGGAACTGTAATAGGTTATGAGGCGCCAGAATAAGAAACTAATGTATATATGTAGTCGTCATCAGTATGTGCCAGAGTGCGTCAGAGAGTCGTCTGATTTCGAAACCTCGTCGACCCAAGTGAACGCGCATCTTTGATGTGAAGCAGGTCGATTAAGAAGCGTTGTTCGAATCGAGGGCGCTTCAACAATCACTTCTTTGTATTAAAGTTAAGCAGGATTTTTAAAAAGCACGAAATCAGAAGTGTGAGTACTTGTAAAAGACTTTTTATCAAAATAAGACCAGTTCGAGTCTGTGCCCCTAAATAGATTAGCGACTTTAGTGTGTAGCCGGATGCGCACTGCATGAGACGATGCCACTGTCACATGTGGGGTAATACGACGACCTATCTGACTCAGGCCGGGCGCCTTTTATATTCCGTTGCTGAACGAAATGACTCAGCCCACGCCCCCTGACTGATAGACTGTGTCGAAATAGTGTGGAAGTAAGGGAGACGAAACCAGGACTGTATGAGTCACGCTAGCCATGGATGCCTTGAGGAATTCCTGTTTTGGTGAGTCACAGCACTGAAAGAGGGGGATTTCGTCATGAGATGGGCTCTGGCTCAACGTGTGGTCCATGCGAGCGACACAAAATCAGCTGATAGCTGCGGCTGGATCGCGGCGCCTCTCGCACTTGCTCACTCGTCATGGACTTGCGGTCATCGCATGCGGGTGCCGCAGTCATCGCCCCGCACTCCTGCTGGTGACACGAAGGAGGTTGCGAAATCTGCTATGCTCGGTTCCGTATCTCGCACTTTTGCTTACTCACCACCATAGAACTGAGTTATGAGGAAATTCGAGTCAACATTGTCATTACATAGTTCTTCCGAATGGTGCAGATG